ACTCTCACTTTACCATCAATTCAATTTCAATTCTGATATGGTATCACGCGTAGGTAGGATCCCCCCCACCTACCGCTTCCGCTCATGCCCCCTAGCGCCCCTCCCAGGCCCCGTCGCGCTCCTCCCAGGCCCCCTAGCGCCCCTCCTGGGCCCCGTCGCGCTCCTCCCAGGCCCCGTAGCGCCCCGTCGCGCCCCTCCTGGGCCCCGTAGCGCCCCTCCTGGGCCTCGTCGCGCCCCTCCTGGGCTTCGTAGCGCCCCTCCTGGGCCCTGTAACGCCCCTCCCAGGCCCCCTAGCGCCCCTCCCAGGCCCCGTCGCGCTCCTCCCAGGCCCCCTAGCGCCCCTCCTGGGCCCCGTCGCGCTCCTCCCAGGCCCCGTAGCGCCCCGTCGCGCCCCTCCTGGGCCCCGTAGCGCCCCTCCTGGGCCTCGTCGCGCCCCTCCTGGGCTTCGTAGCGCCCCTCCTGGGCCCTGTAACGCCCCTCCCAGGCCCCGTCGCGCCCCTCCCAGGCCCCGTCGCGCTCCTCCCAGGCCCCCTAGCGCCCCTCCTGGGCCCCGTCGCGCTCCTCCCAGGCCCCGTAGCGCCCCGTCGCGCCCCTCCTGGGCCCCGTAGCGCCCTCCTGGGCCTCGTCGCGCCCCTCCTGGGCTTCGTAGCGCCCCTCCTGGGCCCTGTAACGCCCCTCCCAGGCCCCGTCGCGCCCCTCCCAGGCCCCGTCGCGCTCCTCCCAGGCCCCCTAGCGCCCCTCCTGGGCCCCGTCGCGCTCCTCCCAGGCCCCGTAGCGCCCCGTCGCGCCCCTCCTGGGCCCCGTAGCGCCCCTCCTGGGCCTCGTCGCGCCCCTCCTGGGCTTCGTAGCGCCCCTCCTGGGCCCTGTAACGCCCCTCCTAGGCCCCGTCGCGCCCCTCCCAGGCCCCGTCGCGCTCCTCCCAGGCCCCCTAGCGCCCCTCCTGGGCCCCGTCGCGCTCCTCCCACGCCCCGTAGCGCCCCGTCGCGCCCCTCCCAGGCCCCGTCGCACTCCTCCCAGGCCCCCTAGCGCCCCTCCTGGGCCTCGTCGCGCTCCGCCCAGGCCCCGTAGCGCCCCTCCTGGGCTCTGTCGCGCCCCTCCTGGGCCCCGTCGCACCCTGCCCGACCCCGTCTCAGCCGCCAGGCCCCGTCGCGCCCGCCCGGCGCCGTCGCAGCCGCCCGGCCCTGTCGCGCCCGCCCGGCGCCGTCGCGCCCGCCCGGCCCCGTCGCAGCCGCCTGGCCCCGTCGCGCCCGCCCGGCCCCATCGCAGCCGCCTGGCCCCGTCGCCCTTGCCTGGCCCCGTCGCAGCCGTCCGGCCCCGTCGCCCCCGCCCGGCCCCGTCCTACCCTGCCCGGCCCCGTCGCAGCCGCCCGGCCCCGTCGCAGCCGCCCGGCCGCCGTCCCGCTCGCCCGGCCCCGTTGCACCGGCCCGGCCCTGACGCACTCGCCCGGCCCCGTCGCCCTCGTCCCGGCCCTGTCGCACCAGCCCGGCCCCGTCGCGCCCGCCCGGCCCCGTCGGGCCAGCCCCGGCCCCGTCCTCCTCACTGGTACGGTTCCCCCCCCACCCCGCCCTGCTCCGTGCCGCCCCGCACCACACTGTACTGCCTGGCACCGCACTACACTGCACTGCACCGCACTGCACCGCACTGTACCGCACTGCACCGCACTGCACCGCACTGTACCGCACTGCACCGCACTGCACCGCACTGCACCGCACTACACCGCACTGCACTGCCCTGCACTGCACTGGACTGTTCCTGATGGCGGCGGAGCTTCGCTTCGACGCTGAAGGCCAGCCCCTAGAGTTCGAGGCGTGGCTTGCCGACCTCCGCCGTCAACTCACTGGCCAGCGGCAGGATGGTGAACCGCTTTCCGCACACCTTGACGGTACGCTCCCCTGCCCAGACCCCCCTGCTATTCTGCCCGCTGACCCCACACCCACTGAGCGTGAGGCTACTGCTGCCACTGCCCGTGCGCGCTCTGTCTGGCTTTCTCGCGATGCTGTTGCCCAGCTTGCCATTAGCAACGCCCTTCCCCCATCCGAGCGTCCTCGCTTTAGGTCCCTCACTACTGCTCAGGCATACTTAGATGCTGTGATCAAGCGCTATTCCACCCCTCCGGCTGCCTCGGTGGGTCGCCTGATCCTTCCGATGCTCTTTCCTGACCTTGCATCTTTCCCCACTGTCTCTGACCTCGCTGCCCACCTGCGCTCGATAGATGAGACCTGGCGCGCTGCCTGCACTGACGCCCAGCTTAGAGCCCACTAGCCGCCCATTACCTCTACCCTCTACCTGCTTGCCACCCGCCTCCCTGACCGCCTTGCTGTCGCCCGCGACCGCTTTCTTAGCGTTCACCCCGCAGACCTCACCCTCACTGACTTTGTAGACACCCTGACTGTGATAGAGACCCGTCACCGCTCCATTGCCCAGGCGAGCGGTGTCGTGCTGGTCCCTATCTTTCAGGGTTGTGCCCCCGCTCAGTGCATCTTCTCCGACGGCTCTGCCGCAGTGGCTGAGACTGCTGCTGCAGCGCAGGTCCGTTCGGGGAAGGGCCGCCGCCCCAAGGCTGGGCGCGGCGGAGGAGGCGGCGGGGGTGCGGGCGGGGGTAGTGGTGGGGTCGGGTCGCCTGGTGCTGGAGTGGACGAGGGGACCCTGCCCAGTTCAGCTGAGTCGCCGCCCTTGCAGGTGCAGCAGCCGCAGCAGCCGCCGCAGTCGCAGCCTTCGCAGCAGCCGCAGCAGCCGTCGCAGACGCGGCAGACGAGTGTCCTCCCGCCAGGGTGGCCCGGCGCTGGCGGTGGCCGGGCGCGTGGTGGTGTGCCGCGTGGTGGCTCTGGCGGCGGGCGTTGTCAGTACCAGATCCAGACCGGTCCTCGCCGCGGCTTCGTTTGCGGTAAGCTCGGTCACTCCACTCCCCGCTGTTTTCGTCGCCTGGACGACCTCTTTCGTCAGCGCTTCGGCCCGTCGCCAGACCTCCCGGACTGGCACAGTTTGCTTAGTCGTCAGCTTCAGATTTTTGATATGGACATGGATGCCATTGTTTCTGCTCTGCATGTGATGTATGCTGATGACTCTAGTGTGCTTCCCGCTTATTACTCACTGTTGCCTAGTGTATGCGTGCCTAGCTTAGCCTCCCCTGCTGCGTCAGGCGTAGGATCCCCTGCTTTGTGTAGTCTTGGTGCTTCCGCCGTCGTTCCGTCGCCAGAACCCTTGGCTTCGCTTTCCTTCACCTTGGACTCTGGCGCCTCTCGGTGTTTCTTCCGCGACTCCACCACCCTGACGCCGCTTCCTGTTCCTGCTGCCGTTTCTCTTGCTGACCCCTCCGGCGGTCCGGTAGTCGCCCGCAGTTCCACCACCCTTCCCTGTCCGGCGGTTCCTTCGGGTTCTCTTACAGGTCTGCATATCCCCTCGTTCTCCAGGAACCTAGTTGGTGTCGGCTGCCTCCAGGACCTTGGCGTCACCACTACGTTCCCTGGTCACGAGCGGTATGCTGTCTGTACCGAGGCCGCCACTGGTGCCCCCCTGTCCACGTTCCCCCGGGACCCGGTGTCCGGCCTGTTCACTCTGGACACCGTGACCCCCCCGGCTGGAGTGCCCCCTCAGGTGGCTGCGTCTACCCAGGTTGCTGCTGCCTGCTCCTGTCGCTCCCTCACTCACCCGACCCTCCAGTGGCACCACCGCCTAGGTCACCCTGCGCTCCCGCGTCTGCGTCACATGTCTCAGCACGGTCTCGTCCTTGGTCTCCCAGGTTCGCTCCCCGCGTTTCCCTCCTCTCCAGCCCCACCTTGCACGCCTTGTGTCGAGGGTCGGCTTCGCCGTGCCCCTCACTCCTCCTCGTTTCCCCCTACCGCCGCGCCGCTGCAGACCCTGCACCTGGACGTCTGGGGCCCCGCCCCCGTCCCTGGGCCGCGTCGAGAGCGCTACTTCCTTGTGCTTGTCGACGACTTCACTCGTTACACCACCGTCTTTCCCCTGGAGCGCAAGGCCGACGTGCCTGGCGCTCTCATCCCCTGGCTTGTCTCTGCGCGTGTCCACCGCGGTCTCCCTGTCTTGCGTCTTCACTCAGACCGTGGTGGCGAGTTTGCCTCCGGTGTCCTTGGTCTCTTTTGTCGTGCGGAGGGCATCACCCAGACGTTCACCCTACCGGACTCCCCACAGCAGAATGGGGTCGCTGAGCGACGCATCGGTTTGGTCATGGAGGTCGCTCGCACCTCCATGATCCATGCCGGTGCACCCCATTTTCTGTGGCCGTTCGCTGTGCGCTACGCTTCTCACCAGCTTAACCTGTGGCCGCACCCTCAGCAGCCGCAGGTTTTCGCCGACCCGTCTTTGGACTGGGTCCCCTGGTGACGCGTCTGCGTTCCACGTCTGGGGCTGCCTTGCTCACGTCCGTGCCTCCGGCACGGACAAGCTCACTGCCCGCACCCTTCCCTGCGTCTTCCTCGGTTTTCCCCTTGACGCGTCCGACTGGCACTTTTACCACCCGCCGTCTCACCGCTTCTTTCACTCTCGTGACGTCACCTTTGACGAGTCTGTCTCCTACTACCGCCGCTTTCCCCACCGTGGTCCCCCGGTTACCCCCCCCCTGTTCCTGGTCACCCCTTCCCCCGGTAGTCCCTGCCCCTCCTCCTCCTCCTCCTCGTCCCGCCCCCTCTGGTGTGTCCCACGTCACCCCCTTGCGTCCGTGGACCCAGTTGAGGAGTCTTCTGACTCTGGTGGCCCTCCTGTGCAGTCCTCGCCGGCCGCCCCTCCCCAGGTGTCCCTCCCCAGTCCCTCTGATAAATGTGTAGTGTTCTGTGGTGGTAGTTGCTCTAGCTGATTGTGGGCTATTGGGATTTGGGCAGAAGATGTGGGTTGGTTGGCTAGGTTTGATTCGTTACCCTTTCCAACCCATACAACCCCAAACCCACTACAACATCTTTGATGTTGCAGATGTGGCACTTGGGAGTGTTAAGGTTTGTCAGGCGAGGGTTGGTGGTGTTTGACAATCCATTCTCGAACTTTTCCAGATCGAACTGCTCCCTTCTCGTTTTTACTAGGTGATTCATGGCTGCCTAGCCAAATTACCAGAATATCCCTCACACTGATTTCGTCATAATCGGCGGCTCAGATCTTGGTTATGACGTGCTTTACCCATTCTGGAAAGTAGAGATTAAGACCTTTCCAACGCGTATAAGCTCATTTCTAGAAGTTACTTGAGCTGCACGCAATGTTCCTGTTGAGATCGTCAACTTAATCTCTAATTAGTTCTCTCCAGATTTGCACGATTTCCATCAGTGGTATCAGAGCCACGGTTAGAGGACGTTCTTTCCTCCATTGGAAGAGATCTAGAGAGGCTTGAAGTGCTCCAGATCTAGGGTTTGACATGGCCCAAAAGTTGGATGGCCCTCCTAGGTTTACCGGCTCGGACTTTTCGCTATGGAGGTTCCAGTTCACACTATGGCTAGGTATTAAGGACCTAGAAAGTGTGTTGGATGGATCGGAGAAGCGACCACGAGCTGACTCTGGGGAGGCGTCTACTGGAGCAACCAGCCAAGTGGGATCCGGGGCTGGGGGAGCGTCGTTGAGTGGGGGAAGGAAGGAGGAACTGCTGCAACTCGAACCGGAAGGTCGCAACCAAGTCGCGAGGAGTTGCTCAAAGCTCAAGAAGCATGGGATCGGAAGGATCGCCAGGCATTTCAGTACCTGTGTTGGGCTTTGGAGGGGCAACTTGAGCTTCTTAAGATGCTGATTGACCTGAAGGGGAAGGAAGGTGCAGCAGCTGCAGCTTGGAAAAGAGTGCAAGATAGGCACTTGCAGAAAGGGCTTCTAAGCGTGCTTACTTGGCGGAAGCGGTTTTACACCATGGAGCGGAACTATGGGGAGGGGGAGACCATGGTTCAGTATCTCCAGAGGGTGGATGAGAATGTGAGGGCTTTGGAGGAGCTGGATTACACGGTAGATGAGAAGGAGATCATCTATACTGCACTCCAAGGGTTGGATCAAGCGGCTAATGAGGCATTACTACAGTACCTTCACCTCGAGCAACAGAAATGGACCAAGGTGTGGATTTGGGAGGTTCTAATTTCTGATGAGGCTCGCAAGGTTGATGCTGGAAGAGGTCTAGAAAGGAGGCATGGGTGCAGGCAGATAAAGCTTCCTTCAGGAAAGGCTATCAACAGCAAGGAGGTGGGGGGGAAGAAGAAAGAGTTGGACAAATGCCTTGTGCCCGGATGCAACAAAAAACACTCTTGGAGAGTTGCTGGAGTAGGCCTGAGGGATGGAAGCCTCACGGCTACTCTGGAGAGGCCCCACCAGTTGACCAAACCTGATTGGGTGGAGAAAAGGATGAAGAAGGGGCTCTGGAATAAGAAGGGCAGCAAGGGAGCCAACGGCCGCAGCTGCTAAGGATGAGAAGGGGAAGGGCCAAGAGACTCCTCCGATGATGGTATTCACTCGTTTCTCATGCTAGGGCAGGATGCAGCTCTCGCTGGTCGTGCATTGGCTGATCCAACTTCCTGGTTCTAGACTCTGGAGCAACATCTGGGATGCTTCCTCCGCCGTGATCTCTTCACCTCCTACCATCCTCTCCACCCAAACTCTGAGGACGTGATTGTTGGGAGCGGAGATTTGCTGCAGCAATTGGCATCGGCACGATCACCATTAAGGGGAAGGAGGGGGAGCTAGTGGGTGTGAAGGGGTCCTTCACGTCCCTGGGTTTGGGCTGCAAACCTCCTTTCATGCTCGCAGCTGGCTAAACAGGGATACATCTGCATTTCACTGAGGGAGGGTGTACTGTTAGAAAGGGTGAAGCTGTGGTGATGGAGGCAAAGCTGGACAAGGGTTTATACCTTGTTCCAGCTTGTGTGCCTAATTGTTACAAGGCACATATGGTTTTTTCTGAGGAAGCCGCTTGTAGCACTCGCTGGAGGCAGGTGGAAACGGTGTCACCTGAGTTGCTACACCTTGCATGGGGCACGCGGGGAAGCAGCAACTGCTGGAGTGTGTGAAGAAGGGGGAGCTGAAGGGGGTGGAGGTCAAGGAAGGGAGCTGGGCAGCAGAGCAAATGTCCGACTGCACGTCTGGAAAGCTGCCTAGAACCTCATTCCTATCTCCTCTGATCATGCCTCGACTCCCCTTGAGCTGGTGCACACGGATGTGTGTGGACCGATGCAAACTCCTGACCGGGGAAAAGGGCAACAGATACTTTGTCACCTTTCTTGATGACTTCAGTCGACTTAGCTGGGTCATCTTGGTGAAGACCAAGGATGAGGTGGCAAAGGTGTTTAAGCGGTGGATACGCTATGTGGAGAGGGAGTCAGGGGCCAAGGTGAGGTGTTAAGGTCAGATCGGGGTGGAGAGTACTTGGGAAAGAACTTCAAACCTTCTTGGAAGAAAAGGGTATTACCCACCAGCTCTCTGTACCTTACACGCCGCAGCAAAATGGGGCAGCGGAGCGGCTTAACAGGACTTGACGATTTGGCTCGGGCCATCCTTTCCATGCGAGCTTGATAACACTTGGTGGGGGGCAGCAGTGCAGTATGCCAACTGGGTGAAGAACAGGATGGGCAGCAAGGGGCTTGGAGGCAAGAGCCCATACTCCTTATGGACAGGGAAGGTGCCGAATGTTTCCATGGCACGAGTGTGGGGGTGCATGGCACAGTATAAGGTACCTGACCAGCAAAGGAGGAAGCTAGATCCTAAGGCACAGTGGGGGATCTTCCTTGGGGTTTCTGAGAGGAGCAAGGCTTGGGTGCTGTGGAGTGTAGCTGACCAGCGTGTGATGGAGAGCCGTGATGTGGTTTTCCATGAGGGGCTGAATTTTAAGGGGTGGAAGGAGCATGGTACAAGCCAAAGTGGGACTTCCATTCAAGACCCTCATACGGCTTCTATCTTTGAGGGGCATGGGAGGACCCTGGAGATGAAGGGGAGGAGCAGCAGGAGGAGCCAGAACCAGCTTGATCCTAACCATGAGGAGTCCCGAGAGACAGATTCTACCCCTCAGCCAGCCACGCAGGCCGATGCGCGTGATGATCAGCCGGAGCAGCATGTGCCTTCAACTCCATCGAGAAGCAGTTGGCAGCAGTTGTTGAACCAGCAGCTGTCAAGACTCCAAGGACTCCAATGAAGAGGGTGACTTGGGAGGAGAAGCTGCGGAGGCTGGAAGAAGGAGAGGCAACACCTCTGCGACGCAGTGCTCGAATTTCCCAGCCACCTGAAAGGTTTTCACCGGGGCACATTGCACGCATGCATGATCATCTTGTGTCTGATTTGGATGATTGCATGCTTGTGGACATGCATGGGCATGAGTATGCTCTTGATGTGTGTCTAATGGGTCAGGTGCATGAGCCTAGGTCAGTCCATGAGGCCGCTGAACCGTCCCGAATGGGTTGAGTCTATGCATGAGGAGCTTGAGTCTCACAAGGTAAATGGATCATTTGAGCTGGTTGATCCAGCCGTGGTACCACCTGGTTTGGAGGTCCTCAGGTGTCAATGGGTTTGGAAATACAAGCATAACCCTGATGGTACCATTGAGAGGCCTAAGTCCAGATTGGTGGTGATGGGAAACACGCAGAAATTGGGAGTACACTATGAAGAAGTGTACTCTCCAGTTGGGAAGCATGCGACCTTGAGAGGTATGCTTGGAATTTCAGCTGCTTTGGGCTTGATATCCATCATATGGATGTCAAGACAGCCTTCCTCCATGGGGATTTGGAGGAAGAGCTTTACATGCGGCAGCCCCCTGGTTTTGATGATGGTCTCACCGAGTGTGTCGCCTCAAAAAGTCCATTTATGGCTAAAGCAAGCCCCACGACAGTGGTACCTAAAATTTGATGAGGCTCTCATGGATTTTGGGTTTGAGAGATCTGAGTGTGACCCTGCCTTGTACCACTTTGTGAGAGATGAGGAGCGGATCTCCTTATTCCTCTATGTGGATGACCTTTTGCTCCTATGCTCTAGCAAGGCTTTGCTAGATCGAGTGAAAGACTTCTTGTCCTCGCGTTTTCGCATGAAGGACTTGGGGGAGGTGAAGTACTACTTGGGAATGCAAATTGAGCGTGATGAGAGTGGTATCTTGATTCATCAAGAGAGGTACATTCTTAACATGCTTCAGTCCTTTGGTCTCTCAGAGGCCAACCCCGTGCGTACTCCTCTCCCAACAGGCTTTGATGTGCATGCCTAATGAGGATGAACCCTTGCTGCGAGATGAGCTGGTCAAGCTCTACCAAAGCATTGTGGGATCCCTCATGTATGCTTGTACTACCACACAGCCACAGATTGCCTTTGCAGTCTCACAGCTATCTAAGGTCGCCTCTTGTCCTAAAATGTTTCACTTGCAGGCCGCTAAGAGAGTGCTGAGGTACCTGAAAGGTGGTGTCAAGTCAGGGATCTTCTTCCAAACACAGCCCCAGTCTCAGGTCCAGCTAGTTGGCTTCAGTGATGCTGACTATGCTGGAGATTCCGCAAGACGCAGGAGCCAGAGTGGGTATGTGTTCTGTCTGAATGGGCAGCTATCTCTTGGCAGAGCAAGAGGCAGCCCGTGGTAGCACTCTCTACCACTGAGAGTGAGTATATAAGTCTGTGTCAGTGCATTCAGGAGGGTGTCTGGCTGAGGCGTTTGTTTGGGGAGTTTGGCCATGATCATGCTGGTGGTGTGCTTGTGTTTGTGGATAATCAGTCTGCCATTGCCCTTGCACAGAATGCATGCTTGCATGGCCGCACCAAACACATGCAGGTCCGGTGGCATTTCATTCGGGAGATGGTAGCTGCGGGTGAGGTGATTTTGCAGTGGTGCCCCCACCAACCGTCAGGCTGCTGATATTCCTTACCAAGTCTCTTCCATTTGAGCGCATGGTGTGTGCATGACCTTGCTCGGGATGCAGCCCCATGATGACAGGTTCCCGCAGCAGATGCCGGCGTCTTGGTGCTCCTCTCCTTGGCGGACTCCATGCTCTGGGTGGCCCCAACCCATGGGCAAGGGGGAGTGGTGTGAAGTCTTTTGCCCTATGGTGTTGAGCCACACCCAGCACGAGCAAGGGGGAGTGATAAATGTGTAGTGTTCTGTGGTGTAGTTTGCTCTAGCTGGTTGTGGGCTATTGGGTTTGGGCAAAAGATTGGGTTGGTTGGCAGGTTTGATCTCGTTACCTTTCCAACCCATACAACCCAAACCCACTACAACATCTTTGATGTTGCAGATGTGGCACTTGGAGTGTTGGGGTTTGGTTAGGGCAGGGTTGGTGGTGTTTGACAATCACATACTCAACTTTTCCAGATCGAACTGCTTCCCTTCTCGTTTTACTAGGTGATTCATGGCTGCCTAGCCAAATTACCAGAATATCCCCTCACACTGATTTCGTCATAATCGGCGGCTCAGATCTTGGTTATGAACGTGCTTTACCATTCTGGAAAGTAGAGATTAAGACCTTTCCAACGCGTATAAGCTCATTTCTAGAAGTTACTTGAGCTGCACGCAATGTTCTGTTGAGATCGTCAAACTTAATCTCTAATTAGTTCTCTCCAGATTTGGCACGATTTCCATCACCCTCCTCCACCGCCACTACCGCTGCTGCAGCCGTCGTCGTCGCCGCTGCCGCCACCGCCGCCGCCGCCGTCGCCTCCGCCGCCGCCGTCGCAGCCCCCGTTCGCTGACTCTGGGGGTGCTCGTCCCGGTCGCCCTGGGGGTGGTCCCTCTGGGGGTGCTGGTGTGGAGAGTGTCGGTGGTCGCCGAGGAGCAGCTTGCGGTCCAGGTGTCACCGTTGTGCCGCCGCAGCAGCGGTCCCCGCCGGTGTCCGCCCTTCGCCTGCTCGGCCTTCCGTCCCCGACCCTGCGTCGGTTCCTCCCCGCCCGTCTCCTCCTCTTCCTGTCTACGGCCCTGTTTTCCCTCCGCCGGACTCGTCCCCGGCTCGTCTCCCCCCTCGTTCCCCTCCTGTGTCCCCTCCCCTGTCTCCTGACCCGACTCCTCCGTCGCACGTCTGGTCTCACCGCCCCTCCCGTGCTCGTCCTGCCTCGCCTGTCTTGCGCTCCCACCCTATGTTGCTTCGTTCCCACGCGTCTCGTCCTCCCCTTCTCCCGTCGCCTCCTCCGTCCTCCCTTGTTGTTGCGCCCCCCCCCGCTGTCCGACTACCTTCGTGCCGCTCGTCCTCTCGTTCCTCGGGTCCTTGCCTCTCTCGTTACCGACCCGTCTGTTCCGGTCTCGTGCCTTGACGCTCTTGTCGTTGCTGTCGCTGACTTCGCCTCTACCCACCGCCTTGACTACGCCACCGCTCTGGTCTCTGACCCTGCCTGTCCTCCGTCTGTCGGGGGTGCTCCTGCCCTTGGCAGTGACGTCCTGGAGGACCGCCAGTTCGAGCTTGCTTTCCTCTCCGAGGCTGCTCCCCATCTCTGTTCCATGCTGCTAGTCCCTGAGGGTGACCCAGACGCTTTCGACATCCCGACCCCTCGCACTTACGCTGAGGCGACTTCGGGATCCTGGGCCTCACAGTGGATAGCTGCCATGGAGCAGGAGATGGCATCTTGGAGATCCACCGGCACCTTCGTCGACGCAGTTCCCCCACCTGGGGTGAACGTAGTCGATGGCCGCTGGCTCTTCAAGGTGGAAGCGCCCTCCTGGAGAGCCGCCTGTCTTCAAGGCGCGCTATGTGGCTAGAGGCTTCAGTCAGCGCGAGGGGGTGGACTTCTTCCAGACCTTCGCTCCGACCCCGAAGATGACTACTCTTCGGGTTCTGTTACACCTAGCTGCTCAGCGTGACTACGAGCTTCACTCCCTCGACTTCTCCACTGCCTTCCTTCAGGGCAGCCTACACGAGCAGGTCTACCTGCGTCGCCCTCCGGGCTTTACTGGCACCTTCCCTCCTGGGACCCAGTGGCTCCTGCGGCGCCCCGTCTACGGCCTGCGCCAGGCTCCCCGTGAGTGGCACGACACTCTGCGTGCTACGCTTGCTGACCTGCAGTTCTTTCCGTCTTCCGCAGACCCTTCACTCTTCGTTCGTGCTGGCCAGACTCCGTTCTACATCCTTGTTTACGTCGACGACCTGGTCTTTGCCACGGCAGACAGGGACGCACTGGCCTCCGTGAAGGCCGAGCTGCTGAAGAGACACACCTGCACTGACCTTGGAGAACTGCGCCGTTACCTTGGCTTGCAGATCTCCAGGGACAGAGCTGCGCGCACCATCACCCTGACTCAGTCACACTTGGTGCGCCAGGTCCTTCAGAGGTTCAGTCTTCAGTTCTCCTCTGCACAACCCACCCCTCTGCCTGTAGACCACAGACTCTCCGCTCCAGTACCTGAGGAGTTGGTAGAGCCCAGCGGCCCCTACGCAGAGCTGGTGGGTTGCCTCATGTACCTGATGACTTGCACTCGCCCAGATCTTGCATACCCTCTCAGCATCCTGGCGCGCTTTGTGGCCACAGGCAGACACCGACCGCAGCACTGGTCTGCCGCTAAGAGGGTTCTGCGTTATCTTGCTAGTACATCGGGCATGGGGTTAGTGCTTGGAGGACGCAGGCCAGTGGTCCTTACTGGACACACAGACGCTTCGTGGGCAGACGACGCTGAGACACTCAGGTCTACCCAGGGCTACTGCTTCAGCCTTGGCTCAGGTGCCGTCTCGTGGAGAGCTACTCGCTCCTCGTCTGTTGCGCAGTCCAGCTGTGAGGCTGAGATCTACGCGGGTGCCATGGCGGCACAGGAGCTCCGCTGGCTGACCTTCTTGCTCACTGACTTAGGTGAGCGGCCTAGCTCTGCCCCCGGTCCTGTTCGCTGACAACAGGGCCATGATCCTCCTTTGTCAGGAGCCTCGACTCGAGGGCAGAGCGAAGCACATTCAGCTGCGGTACTTCCTCCTGCGTGAGCTACAGCAGCGACGTCAGGCTCGCGTAGTACACTTGGCCTCAGGTGCCAACACAGCTGATATCTTTACGAAGGCGCTTGCGCCTAAAGATCATCAGCGGCACTGTGTACAGCTTGGTCTAGTTCTTGTCGCTTCTCACTTGCTAGGACCTTGTCTTGTACTGTCCTTGATATGTGTACTCAGACTGGACTTGTGTCCTCTCCCAGTGGCTGGACTAGTAGTGCCGCCCTGGTCTTGTTTTTGCCTTGTCTGTACTCCTTCTGACTGGTCTCTCAGACCCTTGTCTCAGAGGTTGGACTAGTAGTGCCGCCCTGAGCTGCTTGTTTAGGGTATTCCCCTATGCAGTCTATGGGGTGTGTCAAACATCTGTATTTGTCATGTTTGTATAGACTGTATAGGGTTACCTCTTAGAGGGTACAACACTTAGATATATTTGTGTGTACTCTCACTTGACAATCATTCAATTCCTATTCTGATAGTCGGAACTCTGAATGCTGGAGCATGTGTGAGGGGCGTGAATGGTCCTTGACCAAAATCACGCATCGAAGTGGAGTCGCGATAGAAAACGTGAGAGGAGATTTTTGTGGTCCTTGGCCAAATTTATCTGCAGCACTGAGGTTGTACTGGGAGGGACATGTGTCTCTGGCGTGATTGGTCCTTGACTTGGTTCTTGAACAAGTAAAATAGAGTACAACCAATCAGCGGTGGAGCTGTGGCATTTCTGCCACTGTCACAAGCTCCATAAAAAATGCATGCGTACTGTGCTGTATTGC